AAAAAAAAGTTTTTTTTAAAATTTTTCCTCAAATCAATTTTTTTTTTCAAAATTCGACTTTTTTAAAAATTCTACGGGCAACTTCATGCACTTCAGCTAGTAAATTTAAAAAAAAGCTTTATGAGAGTAGATAAAATTACCTAATAGCTCCTTTATCTACCCGCTGTTGAGGAAGAAGGAACGGATACTGGTGTAGAAGACGAAGAGTGGGACACCATTGCTCGTTATGATGTCTAGTTTACACCACTCTCATTAGACCATACTTTTAGATTATGTTAATCAATTAATCGTCAATCATTGGAAAATGGAAGTCCATGGAAATCGTTTTCTGGCAACAATTTTATATTGCTTTTCAATCACCCATTTTTTACATTATGAAAATGAAAATTCACGGATTTCCTGTGTCGATTGAAGGATTTAAAAGAATTTCATTACATTTTTGTCTTGACAAAATTTTAAATTTTGACTAAGGGTACCCAATAAAACACCAAGTAAGCATGATTCAATTTTATGGCCATAGGAATTCAGGGACATTTTTTTTGAAATCGAATGATAAACTTCCTCGGAAATATATAGTCCGGTGTAGCCCAATAGCGCCCAATAGAGCCCAATATATCCAAATATATCCCAATATATCCCAATATATCCCAATATATCCCAATATAGCCCATTATAGCCCAATATAGCCCAATATAGTCCAATATAGTCCAAAATAGTCCAAAATAGTCCAATATAGTCCAATATAGTCTAATATAGTTCAATATAGTTCAATATAGTCCAATATAGTCCAATATAGTCCAATAGAGTCCAATATAGCCCAATGTAGCCCAATGTAGCCCAATATAGTCCAATATAGCCCAATATAGTCCAATATAGTCCAATATAGTCCAATACAGTCCAATATAGTCCAATATAGTCCAATATAGTCCAATATAGTCCAATATAGTCCAATATAGTCCAATATAGTCCAATATAGTCCAATATGGTTCAAAATAGTCCAATATAGCCCAATATAGTCCAAAATAGTCCAATATAGTCCAATATAGTCTAGAATAGTCCAATATAGTCCAATAGAGTCCAATATAGCCCAATGTAGCCCAATGTAGCCCAATATAGTCCAATATAGCCCAATATAGTCCAATATAGTCCAATATAGTCCAATACAGTCCAATATAGTCCAATTTAGTCCAATATAGTCCAATATAGTCCAATATAGTCCAATATTGTTCAAAATAGTCCAATATAGCCCAATATAGTCCAAAATAGTCTACAATAGTCCAATATAGTCCAAAATAGTCTAAAATAGTCCAATATAGTCCAATATAGTCTAGAATAGTCCAATATGGTTCAAAATAGTCCAATATAGCCCAATATAGTCCAAAATAGTCTACAATAGTCCAATATAGTCCATTATAGTCTAGAATAGTCCAATATAGCCGCATATTTTCCAATAAAGCAAAAGATATCTCCATGGGAGAGGTCATTTCAAATTTTTTTCTCCTGAATTCCTATAGTCAGACGTCATTTCGTTCCGGTCTATAAAATTGAATCATGCTAGCTTGGTGTTTAATGGGGTACCTTATAATGGCCAGCAGACACCTTCTGTGCAAATTTTAAAAGTTTTACAATTTGTTAAGCGAGGTTCTACATAAAATGGGCTAAATTTCTTTATCGGCTTAGATATTTTTTGGATACAAACAAACATAACATGAATTGTTTATTTAAATAATGAACAAGTTTCCTAAAGAAGAGAAGATCTCCCCCTGAATTAACTAGAAGTTCTATATGATCATGACATTTCACAACCTGAAATAAACGAAAATAATAAATCATTTTCTTAAAAATCTGGTAATTCTGGCAGTGCTTAGGATCCGGATCCGTTGGATCCACAACATTTTGGCTTTCTGAATCCGGATAGGCAAAAATATGCGGATTTACGGATCCAGCGGATCCAAGGGGAAAAATATCATTCAAAACTGCGAACAAAAAACTTTTGCTCCGAAAAGCCAATCTGAATGTTGGAGAAAAGAGAGATTATCAAAAATTTCATTATCTCTGAATGGTTAATCAAGTTGCATAAAAATAACGAAAAAAAAAATGAAAATTCTTCTTTTGATAAAACAAAATCATTAAATCTTAAAGAAATGTTTGTGACCTGGATCCGCATCAAAATTGAATGGATCCTCAGCACCAAATTCTGGTATTCATGAATATTGAAAATTAAAAATATGAATTGTCTATATAGGGTTCTAGGTCCGGGTAGGTTTCTAGAATTGAATTCCTGGTTAACAAACCGTACGTTTTACATGGACGGGGAGGATCCTGTATATATAGGGTTCTAGGTCCGGGTAGGTTTTTAGAATTGAATTCCTGGTGAACAAACACTACATTTTACATGGGGGGGGGGGATCCTGTGTATATGGTAAGGGCTACGGGGGTTGAGCCCCTTCCCTTACAGGATGGAAAAGCTTCTGTGTGTGCATGTTGAAGTTTTATTAAATACTAGTTTGGAAACCCAAATTTGCCTGGAGAATAAACTTCCACTACGAAATTTTAAACTCACTCAATTTAAAGGTTTGAATCAAAGTGTACACATTCCCGTGATTCTGCAAAGTTCAATCAAAATTTGCGACATATCTGTCCGGCCCGGGTTTATGAGTTATGATCAAACATCCGAACAAACTTACTATTTTATAAAAGATTACTTTAAATGCAGGGCCGGGAGGGTTCTTTCAGACGAAATTTAGTAAACTATTTGCTACTGTAATATTTACTATCGATCTAAATTCAACATCCGTAAGAAATGCAAGACATAAACGCCTATGGTTACAAAACATATGGTAATGTTTTTTCTTATATAATTATTGAGAAAAAAATGTTCTAATAAAAATAATCTATAATTGCCAATTAAACCGAAAAAATCTGTCAAACTGAATAACAAATTCACGGGAAATCCGTAAACCCCATCCAGAAAAAACAACATCTCTGAAATGCTTTTCGACAAGACTTAACTTGATTAATAGATCCGTTTGTATTATACAAAGAAACCTTACAATATCAAACTTGACTAGCATTCAAAACTTGACAGTATGGATCATTAAAACCCAAAAACGATTGGAAAGAACTCTTTTTTTCAAAAAAATTCACATCGCCGGTCGAAATGTAAAAATAGAAGGATTAAAAGGAAAGTTTAAGCATTTTCAAGATCTGACAAGAAACATATGAAGGACTCGCAACAAATTTAAAAACACTAGGAATAATTTTTCATGCTGGGGGGATACAAGTTTACCATCAAAAAGTTTTTATTCACCCTTTTTACCCAAACCTCATTTATTTTACCCTAAAGTCATTAACTTTCTCCCACACAGTCAATTATACCTAACATTAGGAGGGGAAAAATTATTTGTATCATAGTTGTTTTTGAAAATATACAGTATACACCCTTTACTCGTGACATGAATGAAGTATTATCAAAATTGAGGTCTTAGTAAATTGTACTGATCCCTTATGCCCTTCTGCACTGAAGATTTAAGCTGTGTTATTCCAGAAACATTTTCCTTTTCTGTGAACTTTTTAAACATTCTTCTCTGAAACATATTCAATAATAATTCAAATATTTATCATTTTTAGTCAAATATTGATATTTTTTATATAAAAACAGTTCTTATTTCAATATATTATCCTCTTTAGCAAAAAAAAAGAATATTTCGCCCAAAAACATACATTTTTTATTATTTTTTTAAAAATAATTTTGATCCCCTTCATAATTTTTATGCAGAAGTAAATCAGAACACCAAAGAATGTGTAATCAGAGGCAAACTTAATAGAAAATCGAATTTTACATCTGAAAGAATAAAAATAGAATGATTAATGATTATCTACCAAAATAAAATAAAACGCTAAAATTATTCATGTATAAAGATATTTTTCTTTAATTTATTAAATAATGTTCTTAATCCGTTAACTATTCTTTAATTAATATTATCTAGCTGTAATTAGCCCACAAGCATTGAATTTTATTCGAACATTTTCATATTATAATTTCACTATTTCATTCCCATTGTGTTATTTACAATATACATAAGGCTTTTTTATTCATTAAAAGTCGACACGTCAACATATTTAAACAGAATTACTTTAGTTATGTAGAATCTAACTAGAATCCAAAATAAATATAAAATGTGAAACGATGTTTTCAAAATGTGAATGAATAAATTGTACATAAAATGACAAGTTTATCCCCCCCCCCACCCCCATCTAAAATACCTCTAACCAAGACAATCCTCTATTTTCCCCACTTTTTAGAGGGGAAAACAGGCTAGCCACATCCCTACCATATTATGGGAAACTTTAAACAAAAAGCGAAGTTCTAATTGATATGTTTCTATTACAAATTATTCAGTTAAGTTAGACGTCAAAATTAACTGAAATATTTACAGTGATGATCAGAAATCTTTGAATTAGGCAGACGATTTTAAACCAATACTTTAGTCTATTTGATGTTGTTATAAAGCATAGAGTTTTAGAGACTTATATAATCACTAATTATATTAAATGCGTCTGTTAACACTTGCTGTATCTTATGCTTATTAGATATTTAAAGTAAAAATTAAGTCAAAAGTCGTCTTCCTATTCCAGAGTTGTCTGGTTCTCACTGTAGAGAATAAATGATCTGTATTTACGAGAATAATTTTGACATTGCTTTGTTATCAAATAGCTCAGATTACAACAAGAATTTAGACGGAGGGGAAAAGTGGAATAACAGGTTTCTCTTAAAGGGACTGTAAGCCCTTGAAACATTTATCTGATAAATAATGTGGAAGATATTGTACAACAGAATTAACATTGATATCTAATACACAGCTTTTAAGGCTACCTTATTAAATCAGGCATTGCCATCATTGTATGGAGGGTCCATTAAAATTATGCATACAGTCCCTTTAATTTGCAACACGCCTATCTTGCAATCATAAATCTAAATATAATTTTGGCTTGTCTGTCTGTTTGTCTGTTTGTTTGTTTGTTTGTATCCAATAAACGTCAAAACGGCATAAACGATCGGGCCCAAATTTTTTGTGGGACATCTCGTGACCACAGGGAAGGTTTATGAATGATCAAAATTTCAAATATTTGTCTCCATCAAAATTCGATCTTCATCAAATTTTTGAAAATTTTAAAAATCCACGAATTTTTTTGTGAAAATCCGCGAATTTTTTTTTGTCTTGTTTTACGATGTACACAAAGAGAACATGTTCACAATTAATTTAGAAGATGGGGGCGAAGCGCCCTATAAAGCTAGTCTATATAAATTTGGCTTGTCTGTATCCAATAAACGTCAAAACGGCTGAACCGATCGGTCCAAAATTTTTTTTGGCACCTCGCGTTATCCCAGGGAAGGTTTATGAATGATTAAAAAAAATGTGTTTTAAAGGTTTTTAATTTTGTAAAAAAATCTAAACTCTTGAAAATCCGCGATTTTTTTTTAAAAGTGCGCAAAATTTTTTTCTTCTTTGTTTTTAAATGTAAACAAAAAGAAAATGTTCACAATTTAAATAGAAGATGGGCGCGAAGCGCCCTAAAAGCCTAGAAAGAAGGGCGCGAAAATGAATTTATAGATAAAGGCAATGTTGATGATAGTTCAACAATTAAAAAGTAAAAACAAAAACAGTCAATATTTTGAAGGATTGCAAAACCCCAAAAACATCCAGAAAAATTTATTCCAACAACTGAAAATGAATAAGTATTACTTAAAGCTTGGTTTAGCTAAATTCACGTTGTTTTGAAAATAAAGGATGCTGTTTTGAAAATAAATGATAAGTTTGAGAACTGTTTAAAAAGATAGTTCTGTAGATATGAAAGAATAATTATAGGTTAGGGTAAAGATTTCTTGTTAAAAGTTGGGCCAACACAATTTCAGGGCTAAACAATTATGATCTTGAAGCAATATTTGATTATAATTTCACAATAGATTTATTTTTGATATTTCTAGCACTTCAGGAGAAACGGGATTTTTGTAAACTTATTCCCACCGCGACTACCATGAACATGGGCTAGGACGGAGTTTGAAAGTGAAGGGACTGCTCCTGGTTTAGGAAAGTGACCAGGTTTTTGTAGAAATCTCTCGAACTCCATATCTCAGTAAGTAAACTTGTTTCCGCACTAAGAACACTGTCCAACTAGAATATATGTGGATGATTTATCTTTAAGAGCTTTATTATATAAATAAATGTATACTTGCTTACTTTATGAAGGGTGTCTCTGAAAAAAGTGTATATTTTTAGCCTACTAAAAGTGGTTTTCTTGCTCTAAAAAATGTTCCTAGCAGGCACAATGCCTATAAAAGGAAAGTCGTAGATGAATAATATTTTGCTCAAAAATGCCGTTTTAATCTTTAAAATTAGGCTTAATGTTCTGAAATTGGATCGGTTTCTTTTCCAAATATTTTTCAAAGTAAAATAAAAAAATGCCTATATTCATGATTACTTTTAATTAAGATTCCAGTTAAAAATAAATAACATATCTAGATAGAAATATAAAGAAAATGAATTAAAATGAAATTTAATTGTTTACTCGAAATCTTTTGAAAAGAGACCAAGCACATTTTCAAATATTATATCTACTATCTAGCGAAAAATGGTTAATCAACGACTCCACCTTTTGAGGGCATTGTAATATGCCCACTGGGAACAATTTCTTGTACAAAAAAACTATGTTTACTATGATAAAAATCTTAAAAACACTTTTTTTCAGAGACACACTGTAGCTGACCAAACTGCTAGAACAAAATGGATACTTTTTCAGGGAACCCATGGGTTATAAAGGCAAAGGAATAGAAGTTTAATCATTGGGTTAGGGACTAATACTCAAGACTAAAGACTGAAAACTTGAGACTTGAGATCAGAAAAATATAAAAATATATAATGGAGTCTAGGTTTGGAGACTGCGACTGAAAACTAGAGACAAACGACTATGATAAAACATGATGACTGAACTGGATAAAAAACATTTGTGAAGATTCAAGCAATTATAATCGATAAAAAAATGAAGACTGAAGTCAAACAACAAATGAAAGAGTGCAAAAAAGAGTAATTTATTATTAAAAAAGGGAACACAGCGATTTATATGAACAAAAATATGTTTTTTTTGGGCTTACCTGTGATTTTAAGTTTTGTTTAAGAATAATTTTGTTCCACTGAATTCCAACATTAGCTGCATTACAACCTTTCCGTACCCTGCAGTGTATAACTTCAGTGGTTGTCGTATAATAATAATAATAATAATAATAATTTGAGAATATTATCAATACAATGATTGCCTTTAAACAATAATAATGCAAAAAATAACAATGCAAAACGATGAGTTGAAAATAAATTGCAGAACCCCTTAGACTAGATGACGACCATAGTGATTCATAAATAATTCATTCTTCTAAACCCGATGATATATAAATATATTTCAGTTTTTAAATTCACATTCATATTCATATTTTTATTCAACTACAAAGCACGAGATAATACAAATAACAAATCACAATTTACTATGTAGTTTGGACCCG